CAGACAGACAAACAGATAGATAGATAGATAGATAGATAGATAGATAGATAGATAGATATGAAACAGACTGCGATAGACAGACAGACAAACACAGAAAGATAGATGGGAATAGATAGATAGATAGATAGATATGAAACAGACTGCGATAGACAGACAGACAAACAGAAAGATAGATAGATAGATAGATAGATGAACAGACTGCGATAGACAGACAGACAAACAGAAAGATAGATAGATAGATAGATAGATATGAACAGACTGCTGATAGATAGACAGACAGATAAAATGAGAAAGATACTGATAGATAGATAGATAGATAGATAGATAGATAGATAGAACATAGACTGCGATAGACAGACAGACAAACAGAAAGATAGATAGATAGATAGATAGATAGACTAGATAGATAGACAGACAAACAGATAGATAGACTAGATAGATACAGACAGATAGACAAACAGAAAGATAGATAGATAGATAGATAGATAGATGATACATAGACTGCAGACTGATAGACAGACAGACAAACAGAAAGATAGATAGATAGATAGATAGATAGATAGATATGAACAGACTGCGATAGACAGACAGACAAACAGAAAGATAGATAGATAGATAGATAGATATGAACAGACTGCGATAGACAGACAGACAAACAGAAAGATAGATAGATAGATAGATAGATAGATAGATAGATATGAACAGACTGCGATAGACAGACAGACAAACAGAAAGATAGATAGATAGATAGATAGATAGATAGATAGATAGGAACAGACTGCGATAGACAGACAGACAAACAGATAGATAGATAGATAGATAGATAGATAGATAGATAGATATGAACAGACTGCGATAGACAGACAGACAAACAGATAGATAGATAGATAGATAGATAGATAGATAGATATGAACAGACTGCGATGACAGACAAACAGACAGAAAGATAGATAGATAGATAGATAGATAGATAGATAAGGAACAGACTGCGATAGACAGACAGACAAACAGAAAGATAGATAGATAGATAGATAGATAGACTGGGTGATGAAAGACTGCGATAGATAGATAGCTATAAATAGACTGAGATAGATAGATAGATAGATAGATAGATAGATGAACAGACCGCGATAGACAGACATACAGAAAGATAGATAGATGGATAGATAGATAGATAGACTGCGATAGATAGACTGCAGATAGATAGACTGAGAAATAGATAGATAGATAGATAGATAAAATAGATGAAATAGATAGATAGATAGATATAGATAGATAGATATAAATAGACTGATAATAGATAGATAGATAGATAGATAGATAGATAGATAGATAGATAGATAGATAGATAGATATAAACAGACTGAAATAGATAGATAGATAGATAGATAGATAGATAGATAGATAGATAGATAGATATGAAGAAAGAAAGAAAGAAATAAAATCAATGAAAACTGGTAAGAAGAACACGGCAGAATTAGAACGGAAGAAAGAAACCGAGAACTGAAAAGAAGGAAATAATTCAAAAGGGAAGGTAAAAATAAATAACAATGAAATAGAAGCGTTTAGAAATAAAGAAAAGAATTAAGCCAAAAACGGCTGTCAGCAAATAAAAGAATGAAATGAAAGGCCAAAGAAAGAAAGGGAGAAAGAAAGGAAGGAAACCAGTTAAGTTGGAAAGAGAATAAAATAAAAATTACGAATCATTAAAAAAAAAGAGAAAGCTGAAGAAATACAGAATATTTTACAAAAGTGAATTGACATTTGAAAACAAAATGGACGACTTTATGTTTTCAGAAGGTTGCAAGTCGTTGAATGAAATAAAGACGTTAAACAAGAGAAAACACGAGATAAAATATTGGGACAAAAAACGTTTTTCTAATGGCTGGATATTAAATAACTTTCGGGAATTAATAAAATAAGATAAATATAAAACACAGCCAACCTTGTCTTCTATATAATAAATGCGAAGGTCACTGTGTCACAGTTTTTTTTTAACTTAAAGGGACACAACTCTCTAACTTTCAATAGATTACTTCGAATGAAAAAATTAACGTTCTCGAATTACAGTGCTTCAAAATAAAATTGTCCGTGTTTTCAACTTGACTTCTAGAGGCCGTGGCCCAGCATATCCTACCATTTTAGAATCAGGACGACTCCGTGAACAAATTAAAAACATTTCTGGTCGGATCCGGACCCACAATGTTGGAATTTTCGATTCCCAAATTTTCAATACTGCGATTGTTTTCGGCGATTTTTTATGACGAATTTTTTGGTAGGATAACAATTTTTATAACTTGGAAATAAATTTGGGGATATTCGAAACTAATTGCGAAATCCAGTGAAAGTTATCCATGAAATAAAAATAATTGTTTGTATAGAAAGTAAGGACCTACGTACATCAAATTGTCTTTAAATTAAGTGGCAGCAGGAGAATTATCATTGAACTTTTAAAAGGTAAGATTAAATATTAATGCAATACTTAAAGACAGCGATCAATATTTTGGGTTCTTCTGTAGTTTATTGTTGCCTATCGCATCTACTCCTCCTTACCTATTGTGATGAAGGGTCCTCCGCAGGAGCTAACTTTAATGCTGCCCGATAGGCCTGTTTTTAAGCTAGTTTAAAATAAGAAGTACACAAGATATCCCTAGCTATAGGCATTGGAACAAAATAGTCTACCCTTGTAAATTAAATAAAGCGTTCAGTTCAAAATTCTCTGCCAGGTTACCCGGGTCGATATACACCTAATAAAAGCTAGAAGCCACAATGGCTGACACACTGTGATAACAACAACAAAGACGAGGAAAATAGTCCACGTGTAAATAGTGTAAATAATAACACCTCATCTCAGAAATTTAGACAGAAACTATGAGAAATTAGATGATCCCATCATTCAGAAGCAAAAGAACGTATTTTCAACAGTATGGCTGATGCTAACTCCCAGAAGAGTGACCCACTGCGCCTTGTCGGTATAATATTTTCCACTGATGTGAACTGGAATGATGGTTACGTCTACTGATAAAAAACATTTGTTTATTGTGTTGTGCTCGGCTGCTTTTCTTTATAAGTTTACAATTCGGAAAAACGTGACGTTCTAATAGGTCTAATAGGTCCTCAAGTGAAAAGATGCAATCGACCCTACTAAGCATACTGCTTAGTAGGGTCGATTGCATCTTTTCACTTGAGGATCTTCCGTTTTGCATTCGTCAGTATCTTAGGGATTTTTATTTTTATTTTTAACTTTCTTTCCTTGCACTATTTACATCATTCGGACTGTTATGTTCATTGCCGTTTCGGCCGTTGTTCTGGCCTTCTTCAGTTGATTTATTTCGTCCACCGGGGTTCTAGTTCCACGTGCCATGTCTCATTATTTTCTTTATGTACTCTTTTTCTATGTTTCCCTTTAACTGAAAGTTTTTGGTACACCACTGCTGTGGACTGGTATTGAACTCCTAACTCTTGAGGTCTAGTCACTGGATCTAACCAACGTCTTTATCCACCAGGCTATGTGTCCTTGACGACATCTATGTATGAATTTTAATGACTTTTAAAGCTAAAGTCTCAGCAACCATTTTTACCAGGGCTCATATTGCAATTTTCTTCTTATTATTATTGTATTTTTACCAGGGTTTATATTGTAATTTTTGTTGTTACTCGTTTCTTCTTTCAAGCACTTCATATTACTGGTTCCTATATTGTATTCATTACATAAATAAAACGTTTAGTTAAAAAATTTCAATCACCTGAAGAAAGCCGGAGCGTACAACGGCGGAAACGTTGTAAATATGGCAATGGAGATGAGGATAGCAGTCCGAATAATGTAAAACATGTAAGTAATCAAAATACCTAATCTCATAGATATAGACAGATATATAGAAAGACATAGACATAAAGGCCGGAGAGTACAACGACCGAAACGTTGGTAATATGGCAATGAAGATGAGGATAAAAGTCCGAATAATGTAAATAATATAAGTAATCATAATACCTCATCTCAGAGATATAGACAGTTACTTTTTTTAATTAAGTATTTTTGTAATAGATTTTTCATTTTTTCTTATCCTTGAGTCGGAATGGTAAATTTAGTTGTACGTTTCTGTAGATTTCTGTGTTCTTTGGATTGAAAGTGGAGATATAAGGCTTTACCTTTTTTTCTTTTTGTTTCTCGAAGTTTATGGATATTAAATTGCCTTTTTTTTTTTTTTTTAAACCATATTCGTGATTAAATTCTGAGGGAATTTTCTCTCGGTGAGTATCTTTTCCATCTCTTTTAGTCTGTGGTCTTTTATTGTTGAGTTTGAAACAGTTGGACAGATTCGCTTGGCTACTTTGAGTGGAATGTTGGCACGAGTGTGGATCGGATGAGATGTAAAAAGGAGATACTGTCGAGAGTCAATAGGTTTAAAATATAAGCCGTTTTCTAGTTTAGTGTTTCTTTTGTTATTAATATGTCTAAAAAGGGAGATTTTGTTGCTGTAGTCCATAGTAAATTAGATGCGAGGATTTATTAATGATAGATAGATAGATAG